GATTCAGCACCAGGACCCTCCTGGATTGAACCAGGACCCTCCTGGATCCAGCACCAGGCTGAGTTGACAGTGATTCCGGGCAGGATTTGCCCCCCAGCCCTGCAGCAGCTCTGGGGGAAGCGATTCCCCAGGAGCAGAGCTATCACATTCCATCAGGATAACACCAGACCGAGGAGGGGGAGTTGGCACCGGGGATAAAAATCATCTTGGCAGGACTAGGAGCAGGTAGAGAGTGGGGCTGGGTGAGCTGGGAAGCAGCAGCTCAGAGAGGGGAGGATGGGAGGGAGGCTCTGCAGCCGAGCAGGGCTCTCCTGGTCGGGGGGGATTTAGTCCTAAGCTGCCCCGGGATGCAAAGCCACGGCCTCATTAGTGCTTAAATATGAAATGTATGCAGGAGAAAAGCTCAGCTGGGAGATTCAGGGCAGAGACAAGATGAGGGGCATTTGCTGGGCTTTGAAATCCATCCCCTAATGAGAGCAGGGGGGGATCAAGGCGGGCTGTGACCGAGATCAGAGCGATCCCAGAGTCTACTGAAGAAAAGGGCACCTGAGCACGGGGAGAGCCCCTTCCCTGGGGCTCCTGAGCCCCCCAGCCCCTGCCCAGCTCACCAGGGAGTGCCACATCCCTGCTCCAAGGGGCAGATGGAGGCTCAGGAGGGTGTTCCCAGCACGGCTCCCTTTGGAAGCCCGGAAGTCACACCCGTCCTCCCAAACCCAAAGCCGTGGGTGCTTCAGCAGGCAGGACCTTCCTGGGCTTTGCAGAGTGGCTGGAAATGTTTTCCTGTGCTCTCACAGCTCTGACAGCAGCTGCCTCCAAGTTTAGGAGCAGGATCTGGAATTCGTGGGATGGGGAACAAATCCCTGCTCGCTGAAAGCAGGGGAGGAGCAACCCCCCCAAAAAACAGCGCTTGGAGCAGGTTTATCGCTGGACACGCAGGAAACTCTGAGTAAAAACCAGCAACAGCCGCTCCCAGCCCCCTGCTCCCACCTTCCTGGAAACCTCTAAACGGCCACTCAGCCCATTAATTGCCCCTCTTTGCCGGGTTGTCTGAGAGATGCAGCATTTCCTCGCAGGAGATGGGCTCTGATGAGGGGCTGGGGATGCAGCAATTCATAGTTTCAGTGCTGCTGCTTTGCTCCTGCGACTGGACCAGGAAAAAGGAGCCCAAACCTTGCACAAAAAACCTGTTTGAAGCTCAGAAAAAAAACCCAACCCAAACCAAACAGAGAGGAAGAATCATAACAGCAAAAGAGGATATTTAAAGAGGGAGGTTCTACAGAGAGGACTCAAGTCCTGCTCTGAGTAGTGAGTGGCTGCATTTATTTTTGCAAAATACAGGAAACAATCCCCATCTATGCCGCTCTTTAATTATTTAAAGTGCTTTTAATGCGTTGTTAGGGCTGGAGTAACAGCTTTCCCTTGGGTGTGTCTGCAAAATAATTAGGCTTGGAGAAATTGGATTAATTTTTCATGATTTTTGACGATTGGGCAAAATGCACTCTCAATGATTTATTTTTTCCTCTCGCCCTCTCACTTTGTGACAACGGGAGGAAATTGTAAAGTCTTTACCATGAAAAGTGCTGCAAGTCTGATGTGGAAAGATAAGAGATTGGAGAATAGAAAGGGGTGATTGAGCAGCCTCCAAAAGAGAGGGGTCAGCAGTTCTCTCTGTTCCTAAAATGAACAATAGGATCTTTCTCCTGCAATTCCTAATTATGGAACCACACGAAGAGAACAGACAAAAGTCATTTTTTTTCCCTTCAAGTCTAAAACCAATACTCTTTATGGTCCCTGATGATGTTTTTCCACACACACACAGGGGTGGCAGAGGATCCAGTTTTGATTTTTTTTTCTTACTCAGAGCATAGATAAAATGTCTTCTCTTTTCCCATATCACCTCTCCTATTATCCAGGAAAGGTAAAGCCTTTCCTAAGGGAAAGTCCCTGCACTTCACTTTGATTTCATCAGCCTGGTCCAGTTCCTCCTGCCCACACAGCCCAGCCCTGACCCTGCCTGGGTGAGGTTACCCCTGCAAAAAAAAGCCCTTTTTCTTCTCTCCCAGTGTCAGCAGCCCGTGGCAAAAAGCGTTTTACTGCAATTTAAGGCAACTTTCACCGTGGATCCGTAAAAATCCACCCAATGTAGGTCAGTGAGCGGAGCTGGGAGAGGTCAAGCAGCATTTCAGTAAAACCAGGACTTGTTAGGAAGAGAAACAGCCTCTGGAGCCAAACCCTGCTCAGGCTGTGAGGCCTGAGGAGAAATGACATCCAGCAAAAGAGCAGGACAGGGATGGGAGATGGATCTTCCCGTGGCTGATTCTGCCCTTGCTGGGGGATGCTGGGAGTGAGCTGAGGCAGTTCTCTGTGACCTACTGCTCCACTTCCTCAGCTCAGGCTCCTCTCAGCCCTGGCCCAGCTCTCCAAGTCACTGTTTCCTCTGTTGGAAGGTGAAAAACAGAGGGGAGGGCTCTGTGCTTGGAGAATCAGCCTTTAAATGGCAGCTAATTCATCTGGTGGGGTAAGAAAGGAAGCCTGAAATGAAACGGTGCTGGAGGGATAAAGATGGTGCTGTCAGAGTTCAGCAATACCCACTGCAAGGAGAAAAGGACTTTGGGTGATCCTGATCCACGAAGAAAATCCGGATTCTTGTGGATGAGCTAAACCCTGGGTGGAGGAGGAGCTGTAGCAGCAGCACAGCCCTCCAGGACTTGGAGGATGGAGATCCTCTAAGCCAAAATATGTCCCTTTTCAGGTCTCCACCACCCAAAGCAGACCAATCTGTTACCCCCTTTTCTTTCTTTTTTTGGGGTGGGGAAGAGAAGAGGAAAAGACAGAAGAGGAAAAGAGGAAAAGATTGGCCTCTGTTCAGACAGGAAAAAAAGAAAGCAAAGTAACACTGGGTAGAGAGACACCACTGCAACCAAACCAAAGGGGGGAAACATCCCCGAGGCAGGAAAGCAAAACCTACAGGTGCAGAGAGCAGGTCCTGCACTTGTATCCCTCGGGAAGAGCCTTCCCTGGGAAGCTGTTCCTCCTTGGGCAGCCCCAGGGCAGAGCAGGAGCTCTGGGGGACGAGTCCTGCTGCTCCACACACCCCCAAAGCTGCCCCACAGCCTTCAGGGGGTGGGTTTTGGGGTGGCTGCACCCCCTGGCTCTGCCACTGCCCCCCCTTCTGAGCTGGGCACGGGGCTCAGAGCTGTGTTGGGAGTGGGAAGTCAGGTCTGTCAGGGGTGGGAATCCTTCCCTGGGAAGCAGAAGTTGTGCTCTGGGCTTTGCAGGGGTTGGTTTTCCATGGAAGCAGGAGGAGGGGCTGCCCCCGGGGCTGGAAGAGGCTCATCCCTGCTCTGCTGCTGCAGGGACAGCACCCAGGGCCAAGCCAGCAACAGCCCCCCATGCAGAACATGCACAGCTGTGGCACAAACGTGTCCTTAACCCTTTCAATGGGCACCTGGCAACAAGGGGATGCTCCTGCCCCGACGCCCTGGCACAGCCCTGGCACAGCTCTGGCACGGCCCTGGCACAGCCACGGGAGCTGAGCGGTGCCTGGGCACCAAAAACACCCCCCCACGTGTGCCAGGGCTGCCCACTGCATCTTCCTGGGGGGAAAAACCCAGCTTAGATCCCCCAGGGCAGGGCACAGGTGCCGTGGTGGGCACCCCCAGGTCAGGGCTGGCTGGAAATATTCTGCATTTTGCAGGGTGGGGATGGCGAGGCTTAAAAAAAAGGGAGAGGGGCTTTGTGCAGAGATGGGATTAAAAACCTCTTTGGTGGGGGAAAAACACCCCTTTTTAACAGAGGGGAAAAAAACCTCTTTAATAGAGCAAAAACCCCTCTTTAATAGGGAAAAAAACCCTCTTTAATAGGGAAAAAAACCCTTTTTAATAGGGAAAAAACCCTCTTTAATAGGGAAAAAAACCTCTTTAATGGGCAACTTGGCTCTCCTCTGGGCTTGTTCAGTGTGTGGCCACTGCAGGGTGTGGTGGCTTTGGCCATCATTAGGCATCTGGGGGCTTTTTAAGCCCAGCTCAGGGAAGATTTTGATCTTTGCAGGCCCCGCTGTGGATCCTGCCCTCGCCCTTCCTGCCCGTGGGGGCTTTGTTTTTTTACCTGCCATGGTTTTGAATGCCCAGTTTGGCCCCTCCTTGAGGCCTGGCTTTGCCATTGAAAGGGTTAAAACAGAGCTCATGCTTTAATTGGCAGCACAGAAAGCACCTTTTTTTTTGCCCCCATGCCTGTTACCTCCAAATCCGGTACCTGGGGTTGGCGTGGCTTCGAGGGCAGCGCCAGGGGCAGAGAAGGGGGGTACGGAGAGAGCACGGCAGAGAAGGGGAGAGAAAACACAGGAATGTGTCAAACAACCAGAGCACACCCACGGGACACTCGGGAACACTCACACACAGTCAGGAGAGAGCTGGGAGAGAGGGAATGAAGGCAGTTTGAGCACGGCCTGACACCCTCCTGTGCGTTACAGCCCCTGGGACACGGCGGATAAACCACAGCAGGGAACTCACACCCAGCTCCAACACCCTCAGCACCCTCAGCAGAGGTGCCAGGGGTGTCTTGAAGCCAAGTGCTTGGATCCAATCCTGGTTTTGACCCTGAATTTCCCCCTGATTTCCCCTGGAATCACTCACATCTCGTCCCGCCCCGTGCGGGTGTTTGGTTTAAACCTCCCCTGGTGAAGGAGTCTGGAGAGCAGAAAACAATTACCCAAGAGAAAAACCCATTCAGGGGTTTAATTTTCTTATTCTGCTTATTTTCTTTCAATCACAACCTCATTTTTGCAGCAGGTGCCTTCCCATCAAGGTGGGCACTTCGGAGCTGCTCGTGGTGCCCAACCTGCCTGGCACGAGCAAAACTCACCCAGGTCACGTCGTCCCTCAGGGTCTCGTGTTTTGGGGGCAAACTTTGCCCCCAAAGTTTCTGGAACTTGACTGTAAACTACTTTAATTTTTTTCTTGCTGCTTGATTGGCCAATGCTTTGTCCTTTCCAGCAGGGGAGCATCAGGTGCCACCCCAAACCCTGCGGAGAGGGTGCCTTGCCTTGGCACACAGCTGTAGGCACTGCCTGCTGTCTCCTGAGACAAATCAAATAAGTTTTGGAGTTGGTTCTGGCTGTTATTTCACTGTTCACTGCCAGTGCACAGAAACAAACCCAGAAAAGCAAATGCATGAGAGAAACAACTAAAAATCTTGACCATCGCCCTCAATCCCACTCCTGTGCTCTAACAGCTCAGCAAAGCTCCTCTTTAAAGCCCCTCTCACCATTGCCAGGGTGTAACTTGGCTGCTGTTTTCCCCCACAGCCCCATCTCCCATCAATTAGTGCCACTGGAAGCCACCTAAGAGGTGTTGGGAAGCATTTCATTTCCACTGGGTCACGGTAGGAATTGCTTTTCCTACTCAGAGCCATTAGCTGGGGAGGGGGAGATGGAGGGAAGGAGACAAAGCCCCCATTAAATCAGAGCACTAACCCAATCAAGGGGCTGTTAGAGGAGGATAAAGAGAGGAAAGAGCCGCCTTCTGTCTCCCCACGTTCCCTCAGGGCTCCTGAACTTTCACTGGGTTTGATGGATGTCCCACCAAGGGCATTTTATCTGATTATGAGCCTGAGAGTTGGGGGTTCATTCTGGGTGGGGTGACTGGGAGGTGGCAGCTGCTTCACCCCCTCTGAGCCACCTAAAAGTCGCCCCCATCTGCCCCTTATTTAGCTCATACTGAGACAAGAGAGGGGCAAATTAAATCACCTTCAGCAAGAGGAGAGAGAGGTCACAGAACCACAGCACGGTTTGGGTTGGTTGGGATCTTAAAGATCACCCAGTGCCACCCCCTGCCGTGGGCAGGGACACCTTCCACTAGCCCAGGTTGCTCCAAGTCCCTTCCAACCTGGCCTTGGACACTTCCAGGGATGGGGCAGCCACTGATTCTCTGGGCAAACCTGTGCCAGGGCTTCAAAACCCTCCGAGTGAAGAATTTTGTCCCAACATCTGGCAGCACAACCCCACCATGCCCTGCTGCTCTCCAGGGCACGTGAGGAACCCTCACTGCCTGTGGGGGGGCACCTGGAGCACAGGACAGTCTCTCAGTCCCCTCTGGAGTGTTTCTGCTGCAGGATTTGGTCCTGACCCGTCCCTCTGTCCCCGCAGCAGAGTGGCTGTGCTGTCTCACTGTGCTGGCTCCGTGCTCCTCCTGCTCCTCTGACCCGCAGTTTTTGGCTCATCCCCGTGTCCCATCACCCCCCCCCAGGCCCTGGGCAGAGCCAGGAGCTGTTGGTGCTGCACATACCTTCGTCCAGCAGGGCTGGGGACTCCTCCACTACGGGCTCTCCTTCTCCCACCTGGGTGCGGGCGCGCAGCACGAAGCGGTAGCGGGAGATGGGGTCTGTCCTCTGCAGGGTGAACCTGGTCTGGTTGGGGGAGAGGTTCTCCACCACGGTTCGGCCCGTTTTGGTCCCGTTAACTGGGGAGGAAAGCCAGGGGGTGGTGGGTTCAGGTTCAGGTGCCCTCCAGCTCCTCAACCTCGCCCTGCCCTCGCCGCGGGGCCTCGTGCTCGGAGCTGCTGCTGGTAAAGACTCTTCGTTTGGGGCTCTTGGGGACACTCTGGTGGGGACATCCGGGTGGTGAGGGAAGGCTCTGCTGCCCCAGGCATCGTGTGGGCTCTGGGCAGCCTCGTACACTGCAGGAGCTTGTGTGTGTCTATATCTACAGCCACCCCAAATATCTACAGCCACCCCAAATCCTTGTGCCTCCAGCACACAGATAATCACCTCTCACAAAGCACTTCACTGCAAAACCTACAGGAACCGAGTCCTTCCTTTCAAAACAGTCTTAATTATGGCTGATCAATAGAGTGAGCACAGGAACTACTTGGACTGAGCTTAAAACACAGATCAAACTTATTCCCCTTCAATAGCCGAGGCTGGGGAACTGCTGAGCACCCCTCACCCTCCCTGGCTGACTCCACTGTGCCAGGACCCCTCTCAACACCAGCTTGGCTCCTCATGGAAGTCTCCAGCTCCTTATGGAGAGATCCCTGGGCTGGGGGAGGAGGGAATCAGCAGCAAGGAAAACACTGAGTTACTGAAGGATTATCGCTCAGAGGAGAAGGTGGAACGTACAGGGTTGGTATCTAAGGCTGTATCCTGTGAGGACTCCATTGGGATGCTCGGGGTGATCCCACTCCAGATTGATGATTTCCAGGTTGGGCTGTCGGATTCTCAGGTACCTGGGGGAGCTGGGCACTTGGGAGAGGAGGGAGGAGAAGGGAGAGAAGAGAAAACACACGAGATAACACACCTTCCACTGCTGAGCACGCCACGGGCCGACCCACAGGACATTCCAAAATAGCCACACAGACACACAGCAAAGGGCAGGAACGGCCTGAATGAGGATCTTGTGCCAGAAACCAAGTGCCAGCAGCAGTTGGGGTGTGCAGGAGCAGAAAGCAGAGCAGCTCTGCCATGCAAACCCATCCCAAAGTGCCTGTGCCATGCTGGGAACCCCCCAGCGAGGCCACAGAAGGTGCTGCAGCTGAAGCAGAGCTGGGACTCAGTTCAATCCCTGCTTCTCAGACTTTTTTTGCATCCCCCACCCAGCCCAAGGTTTTTATCTCCTCCATAAAAAGCAGGACAGCAGCTTCTCTTATCACCAAGTGTGGTATCAGTGTCTGGAGATCTCCAGTGTCCTTACCCTGGGTTATCACTGCTTGTTCAAAGCCAGTGAAGGAAGGAAAAGAATTACACAGCCCTGAATTAAATTATTCTCCTGGTTGACTCATAATTGCGGTGCCTTAATTGGAGAAAGAGCTTGGCTTGCTGATCTGGGAGATTGGGGGGTGTTTATTTTTAACCAGCAGAGTGTCATCCAGTCTCCTAAATGTCGATATGGAGTCAATAAAATAGCTTGGTGGTATAGGAAAAACAAAAATCAACATTTTCCTTGTGACAGGGGTATAATCTGCTGTAATTGTTTCGATTAATGCCACCCATGTATCCTCACAGCCACCCCAAATGCCTGTAGCCACCCCAAATATCTACACCCACCCCAAATATCTACAGCCACCCCAAATCCTTGTGCCTCCAGCACACAGATAATCACCTCTCACAGAGCAAAACCTACAGGAACTGAGTCCTTCCTCCTAAAACAATCTTAATTATGGCTGATCAACAGAAAATCCTTAGGAAACGGTGACAGCATCCAAGAAAATCCGGAGGAAGAGGCAGGGCTGAGCTGCTGCTCCAGTGCAGCAGGGGTGGGATGAAGAGGAAGGCAAAGAGGAAGATCCCGCTGGATTTTGAGACAAGATTTGCCCCTAAAAAGGGGCTAAAATTCCCCCCTTTCTGGGCTAAAATTCCGTGCTAATTTTCTTCCCTGGGTTTTTTCTGTGCTAAAATTCCATGCTAATCCATCTCCTGGGTTTTTTTCTGTGCTAAAATTCCAGGCTAATTTTCTTTCCTGTTTTTTTTGTACTAAAATTCCATGCTAAAATTCCATGCTAATTTTCTTTCCTGGGTTTTTTCTGTGCTAAAATTCCATGCTAATTTCTTTC